AAAGTGGCTAGCGTCGTGAGCTTCCAACCGATAAATTTTATTTGCGGCGCTTTTGCTAGATTGCAAACACTCAGGGAATTTTATCAAAGACTTACTTAATTCCTATTCCTTCCTCGGCCAGCCAATGCGATGCGCAAAAACGCGGACTTAACTGCTGGAATCAGTGTACTACTGGACTGTCAACATAATTTAAAATATGAGGCAACTATTCCCACACACAAATATGCTTCTGATCAGACAAAATGTGAAATACTTCCAGTAGGGTACATCTGTTTTAATGCACAGAATTACATATCAATCTAAAATGGTGACCTTACATTTCTATAGAATTTGTTTATAGAAACATTTTATGGTAAATGTTAACATTAATCTTACTACACGCGTATTTGTGAGAAAAATACCAATGCGGCAAAATGAAATATACTTGGAAGAGTTATACACCCACTTTTAACTTTTTGCATAAATACAATTTCATAAGACAATATGTTTGCCAAAATGATGAACATGGCACTACTGTTACCCAGGATTGTTTTTTTTTTATTTCATTAATGAGTCAGAAACTTAAATGTACTTCCGGGTTAGGATATCAATATGAACCTTGGTGTTCCCACTGTCTTGCCAGTTGATTCTAGTTTTCATTTCAATTGCATGAGTACTTTGTAAGTGCAAATTTTGATGCCATAAGTTTGCACTAACAGTCGTATTAAATTTTTTTAAAGAATGACATTCCTGAGTGGGACTAAACAAGTGAAATTCCTGTAATTAGTTTTCAATATTATTTTACGAATAGAAAAAGGTAGTAGGTGAGTTCTTTTCAAGAATTGCAGTTCCACGGCTATTCAAATAGGACGTCGAGTTGAACAAAGTGTGAATATTTAATACCAGAGATGCCAGTTTTACTCAATTTTGATGGGAAAAACGAGTTAGCCGAAGGAGCTGTGTGATCTGTCGGAAAATCTTATGCGGTTTTCACGTTTATAAAGCAAATGCCACAGTCTTACTGCTAATGAATGCTCTAGTCGCTTCAAGAATTTTAGTTGACAATTATTTGTAGCACTTCAATGTCGAATAACTAGAGGAGTGGTGTGTGAGCAGAAATCTTATTTGAACCACTTTTATTTAAGAGGAAACTTGTAAACCCCTAGCCCTTCGATTCCATATTCAAAGAGCTACAACAACAAACCCCAGCGATCTACAGTTGGCATTAGATTACTTGCTCGAAAAAAGCGCTTTCTTTGCTTAATCATAACCGGAGTTAAAACGTTGCATTTTTTTGTTAGTGCAAACCATCAACAATAATGGCTTAGTATGGCAGACACCTCAAGTAAAGTGGGGCTTTGATAGATGTAATTTTTAAATCACTGTTTAATAGTCTAAGATTTCTTTCAGCACTGCCGTGAACGGAAAACCCTGGTCAACGGAATTTCGGACCCTAAACTAAATTTTTTTCCTCTGCATTAGAAAACTTGTTGACTCTCCAGCAGAGGCAGTAAGCTGAAACCTGGAATGCAATTTTAATGATAAAATTGCATTTTAATGTCACCTTATAAATCGTAACGGCTAATATCGAACCTTAGAGAAACAGGAAAAATTGAGAAATCATGTCACCCATGGACTTCACAATAAATACTAGAGGGTTTTGGTGAGGAAAAAGAATTATTTCGAAGTGTAAATTCTTTCGTAAACTAACTAGCCTACTCACGTAAAATATTTTTTTCAATAATTTCAGAAAATCATTTTGCAAAGAAGCAATTTTTACTACTTATTTAATTATTCAAAAAGCTTGAACGAATTCCTAAGTTGATCAAAATATAAATATTTTTGGCAAACGCGCTTTATGAATCTATGAATAGGACATTGCCGTTTTTGTAAATACATTCATGCACTGTCAGGTGTTTTTCAAGCGGCACACGAAATGACCCATTTGGATAGTAAAATTGCACCATTTCAAGGTTTAGTAGAAAATAGCAAGGATTTTGATTCGTATTTATTGTTGGATTTCTAGTAATTAAATAAAAGAATTCTTATGGACATACAGCCACTGTTAGTACAGTTAATATTATAAGAGAAGATAGTTTCCTGTTAAATTTTCGAAAATAAAATAAAACAGCCACTTGAACTAACACAGCTCTAAATATATCGTGGGTTGGAAACTGATTTTTAACGTGGCAACCGCTTCCCACCGAATTGCATGCGTAAATTTGGCAGCTTAACTCACGTGATGCCAAACCGCTCACTCTGAGTCCTGAGTGGCTCCCTTGATGCGTCCGTCCACGCGCCATCTTGCATTAACGTGGGTGTCAAAGTCTGGATGCGATTCCCTACTTTACACAATGGAACGCAGAAATGCCCAAAGGATTTACGGAGTTAGCCAAGTGTGTTTCAGTTCATCTCACATTCAAACAATGCAAAATATTCCTGTAAATTTAGGGTGCGAAACACGATTATTTACTTGCGACATTTGATGTTTTTTATGAGACTTGTGTTCCCATCAAACGCAAAAACTGTTGTGACAAAATTTAGCTCTAGAATGAGTATACACAACTGTGTAAATGATATACTGATAAGACGGATTTTGACAAAAGTGTGTTTGGAGTTGCACTCAAGTGTGAACTAATTAGAAGCTAGTTTGACTGCTTCAGGCATATAATGTGTTTTTCTTCATCTTGCGAGGTACCATGACCGAGGACAATTATGTCCCAAGTGGCGTTATAATTACAGAAGTGTTCATTGGATTTCTACCTCAAAAGGCTTTATGCAGCTGGCACTACAGAATGGAAGCTTTGCGAAGAGTGAATGAACCAGAAGTGTTTCGTGAAGCAAATCCTCAAAGGATTCCTACGTCGTGATATTTGGATAGACTGACCCAAAGAACTACCTTAGTCAGTACCATCTCTCTGACAGATGCCAGCTTGTCCATCGCGACATTCCGGTGGAAGACCAGTAAATCGATTGAACTTGCTTAAGGATAATTCAGAAAATGGTTGAGCAGTGAGTCGAAAATGGTTGAAAGTTAAATGCGGTGAATGCACCGAACACCCCGGCTAGGCTGCAACAAACGGTGATTCTGTACCTGACTGCAGTAGGTTGAGACGTTTCAACAACGTGATATTTGGCTGTGTACTGTAGATTCACAGTATAGGATTGTGCAGCCACCCAGTACTGGCTCCAAAACATTGTCGCTGAGGTCCATTTTCCCCGAATTCCTTCCGACCACACCTAATTCTGTGGAGACATCGGTGGAACGATGCCACCAGCAGCGAAGTCGTGTCGATTTACCATGTCGCCTTTCTCTTCTGTCCGACTAATTTGATGAGCACCTTGTGCAGAATGCAGGCGCACATCAAAAATTTTGAAGTCCGTGGTTGGCTAGCAGCCAATTGGAGCGCTAGTGAATTGTGGATTTGAAGAATAATATTAATGTTTTGCTCTCAGAATAGTCTGTTATGAGCGTTGATGGTGTGGTTGCGTTTAATCGCCTTATCAGCTGGACTGGTGAGACTCGAGGATGGATAGGCGGGAGATTGTATCTAGTTGGCCGCATTATTGCTCCAAACAATGCAAAACACAACTGCGCGCAATTACGTCACCCGTCTAGCCCGCATGGAAGAAGCATCCAGTTGGTTGCGTCTACTGTATTTGCTGTGCTCTACATCACCTCGCTTTGGTATTGTGAATTACTGATTAGTGAAAACTATTTGCGAAGCAATACTTGAACAAAAAATGGCAGTCTACCCCATGGTGTTATCTATACACGTCCATTCAATCTGACTAACAAATGGTTATTTTTAAGTAGCGAATTTAAACATCTACTGTTAGCTTCTTTTAAGACCGTGTCATGATCCCAAAGTTTGACCAATGAAGGGATTTTTGTGCTGAAAATTACGACTTCTTTGGTTTATTTAAATGTTAAATCCCTACGAAAAGACCCTAAACGGGAATCTATAGACACTGATTAATGCTTCATCAGCTGTATTAGTCTATATGTACTAAAGAATAGTTGTCGTGAACGCAAACATTACGAAGCAGACGAGTCACCTGAAGATCTGGTTGTTTAACCTGAGCATGGCTGTTAAAGTTGGGGCATTCGGTTTCTCTTGCTTACATTCGAAAGTACAGCGATTTATTAAGTAAATAAGAACTCGCCCACGCGCAGAGATTTGCTTCGACGTGAAAGTCACGACCCACGCGCCTGTGTCAACCCCCATTGAACCACACGGCCTCCTTTTCTCGTTCGATCGCGCAATTGAGATGTGGTGAGGGCTGATAATTTATCCAAACTTGTCTATCAACTGAGAATTTTAAAAGACCGTTTCAATGTAACTGTTATTTACGCACAAGAAACCTTAGCAGTTGCCCTGAGAAGGCTCTCACGTCAATTCACACAAGCGCGCTACAAATCATCAAGCACCCCAGGTTTTTTGAAGTACGATTGACAAAACCTGGACCTACCAGAACTATCGATTAGGAAAACTTAAATCAAGTAAAACAAAATGAAGGCCATCCGCATTTTAAAACGAACCTTCCTCAATAGGGTTTCACAAGAATTTCGATCAACAGTTATTTGGCCCTTCGTCCACAACACCTCGGATTTTTTCACCGCAAAGCTAGACACGCTTTACAGCAAGCCTGATATCTTGGCTCTAGGCGTCGAACAGGCACTTTGAATACAAATCACTCGAAAACCACGAGCATTCAATGTGGAGGATTTACAAGTAACAAGCCCTGAAGGTTGTTGTAAGCACGAAATCGTACGCTAAATTTGTGATTACTGTCTACTCGAAACTTTATGGCGGGCATAAAGACACTATGCTTTGAATTTGCTCATATCTAATGCGGCCAATTGCCAGGAAAAGCTTAGGACAGCAGCCTGCTTCCCATTTTCCTGATTTGCCTAATTTTTCAAAGTCGCAACATGTATTAGAAAATTGTGAGCAAAAAGTTGAAGTGATATTTATTGAATGTGAGCTGTTTCCCCCCAGAAGGATGAACAGCCGCGTTCAGGCTAGCCAAAAACGAGACTCTTCTCGAGTGCAGCATCTGCTGATGGAGACAATGGGAACACGAAGCGAGGGAAAGAGGCACCAGGTGACGGTGGTACAATTCCCGGACAGCACGAGGATGTCCACGCAACAACGACCAGTTTGAACGCGCACGGTCCATCTGCCCCACTCCACCGCTATCACATCTTGTTGCGTCCCTCTTCGGGCGAAGATGGCAAAGCACCAGTTATCACTGATCGTTCGCTGATGTCAGAACTTGTCTTTGAGGCGTTCAGAACAAAACGATCCCAGCAAGTGTCAATACCCGCTAAAATGCTTCTAAATTTTCGTAATTCTTACTAACCTGTATTCATTAACAAAAAAAATTGTTACTGCCTTTGTAAACACATATTTACAAAATCACACCCTGAGATAGCATTTTACTTGCGAGTATCCAAAGTGTGATTCAGTAAGTCCATTTCCTCGTGTAAAAAACGCCCAACTATCAGCCAAATTACAAAATCAGCGAATGGAATGGCTTTTATACAAGTGTGACAGTGTACATAGGGTCGGAAGTTTTGGTTTTAAGTCCATCCATCGACGTCTTCGGTAGCATTGCAGTCTAAAATAACAAAAAACGGACATTTAAACTCAAGCAATGTCTCTCAAATAACGCAAATGAAAGCACACACGCACGACACTGATGCGAACCGCTGAGTCTGTTTCACCATCTCACAAAGCCTAAGTTGCTACGCAGAAGAGACAATGACGATGCACCTATGGGGAAAACTAGTCTCGCTGCAGTTTCTTCTAGCAGTGCCGCCCCTGAGGATTGTTCTCCCACCGTCTTTTATTGCCACACAATGGCTGGGCATGCAGTTGGTGACTGAAGTGGTTTTGAACAGGCATCGACGCCACCGCATTGCGACCATGAAAGCAACTAAGTGGGGTTATACCTTCGGCCACGTTCAGTTTCACTACGTCTTCAGGAGGCGGTGAGTGGGGATTTGTAGGCTGGCGTTTCGGGTGGGAAACTTGGTTAGGAGTGGTGCGGGCCTTCTTGGTTCTTGTCTTCAATCCAACACTTTCCCCAGGTTCAGTCTTTGCGAGCGAAACTGAAAACAGACAGAGCAGCACGGACTAAGTGTCCACAGAAAAGGGCCCAGGGAGTTTCGGTGAGAAAAAATTAGAGTTGGAAGAGAATGGGTTTGCTTGTTAATGCAGCAGGCATTGCACTTGACCTTGGAGTTAGGAGAACAAACTTCACGTCCACGTGACCGCATTCGCAAATCGCCGGAAGACTATGGCGACTACCACGGGGATATGTGACGCCGCCACTTTAGTTTTAATTAACTATTCTAACTATTTTCAATGGAACTGAAATGGGGCTGTGAGAGGTGGAAAGAGAGACAAGTTTGTCTTGTTTGAATAATCGGGAAAAGTTCTTTGAAAAGTTGATTTCGGATCGAGGTCACTTCATAAACCATCCTAAGTGTTATCTGCATTTACGGTCAAAGCAACAAACAATCGACATCAACAACGAAACCAGTAGCTACGAGGTACAATTTAAATGGGGTAAGAGGAAATTGTCGTAGACTAGGGTTCTGTCTTTCTGGATGCCTTATCACCCCACAACAGCCTCGCAAGTAACTGAGAAAGATCACGGCGAAATTCACAAGTAAATCGCAGCCACGAGTAGAACATTGTAGCTAAGTGTGCAGCAGAAAGAGGAATCCTTACCGTTCACCTCTGCGCGAATCCTGCGCCCATGAAGTGTCAGGTGCTTGGCCCGTTTGAGTGCCGCCTCGCAAATTAATCGCTTCTTGAAAGTCAAGATAGCGATGCTAAAATTGAACGACAGAATACGATTACACTGCACGCCACGAGAAGCAGGCGAGGCCAATGTGCTAATTCACACGCATCAAACAGGTCATGCCACGTAGACGGATAACTGGACCAAGCCACTCAGAACGGTACACATCGCGCAATGTAACACTTTCGTTCCTCCATCGTCGATTTCGCCTTAAAGTACCCTCACACAAACTATAAGCTTTTCTTAATTCCTGTGTTTCTAGGCCACATAGGTTGTGTCGATGAGTTGAAAATGTTGAAAATATTGAAGTGACAAATCCTAATATCCATTGGGTACGACAAAGAAATAGCGTGCTACGACTCAGCAATCAGTTTACCATAGACTTCCACATTGCATACGCGTGTAATTTGTTCACAACGGTGGACAAAGGTGCAAGAATGACCATCGCTAGTTCACGATAGCAGGTACTCTTTGTAAACACATACCTTTACAAAGATTTTAGTAAACACCGATGAATATTGTGGATACAAAATTGTCACAATGATTTCGATTCTGAGAGGCTAAGGTGATAAAACTGACAAATTTTAACGTTTAGTCTAATTGCATGGAGGAAAAATCACATCTACGAAAGGATGCGATATATAGCGTCTTAGTGTCAATTAATTTGCCGTCTTTGCAAAGGCTGATGGAAGGAAAACGAGCCTCTTGAAGAACTAGTGCTGATTACGCTTAAAAAGAGTACTAGCGAAAAACAAAGAAAACAACTTTATCGAAAGTAAAGGCTGACAGCACGTGGGCGGTAGAGCCATCCAGATACTATGTAACAAGGAAACCCACGTTACTTCATTTAAAAACATTTAATTAATCATGGTTTATAAACCACTTCTACGCAGGTACCATATTCTTCAACTGTTTCGTGCATAAAGCACGAGGAACATGCGTCACCGAAGCAAACGAAATGAGATCTTAACAGCCGAGGGTAGTAAATGCAACTTCACTACTAAAAGTGGCGTTGGCAAGGACAGGAGGAATGAAAACGCCCGTGGTATTCCTAAAACTACGAAAGTCCCTAGCACTGAGTTTAGCATCAAAAAGGTTCACTATTAGCACTATTATTGATGGCAGAATCGGTTTCGCGTAGGCTCAAATCTAAGGTAGATAGGTTAGGAAGCCACATAGATGGCATTATGCAAAAGGGACGATATAATGAGGTGCGGCTCTCCAACAGCACTTGCTTGGTGAGTGTTCTGTAGTAGTTGAATGCCAGGTGGACAAACGCAGTTCGCCCTCTTTAGAGCTGACTGCGAGGGCGTGATGTGTGCATCGACATTAGATGAGCCCGAAAATATTTGGGCAAAGAAAACAAATCCCGTGGTAAACAGGTAAAAAACAACAAAGTAGTCCAGAGTAGTCACGAGTCGACCGTGGTGCACACAGAGACTACTGACGACAGGCATCAGTCCGCACAGGGCTATGACTAAATCCCCACCCTTACACAATCCCAATGAGTTCCTTCAAAACAAGAGAAGCGGAAGGATTGAGCGGATTGAGTGGGCTTGAAGGTCGGCTGTTGACCAGGATCAGAACGGAGGCGGAAGTCAGCCTGAACAACCCAAAGGAAACCTCTCTAATTACTGGGAGAAACAGCCGCTGTTTTTGGTAAAGGCAAGAAGTTTTTACGCTTCCCATAATTCACCACACGACAGATCCCTTTGCCCTTGAACGAGTACGGTTTATAGCACCAAAAGGTTTTTGTGCTTCGACGAGATTAACGCTTTCCCCCAACGCAAGTTAGTACGCGGCGTGGGAGGTGGGCGCGGCACACGACCCACCATGGCGACTTGTTTCCCACAGTTAGCGGCTGAGAAAGTTGCTCGTGCAGCCTTTACGTGACGACGAAACATAGAGCACTCGCGGACAGTAAATACGGCCTCACATCGCTGCATAATGCTTCCTACAGGAAATCACGTGACGCCTCCAAGTCATGATGCAAACGTTGAGGAGTTGTCAATGCCATCAACCGGGCCCTAAATAACTCATATGGTTATGCACGGGAAGAAGGGCAACTGTCAATGCACGCTGGATGCAGCGCCAGGAGTGCACGAAAAAGCGCAATTTGCACTCGGCGCCAGATACCTGTTGGACTTGCACAAGGGGCGACCTTGCAAACGAAATCCCGAGGAGGAACTAGTGGTTATCAAAGCCTCAAGCAAAATTCGAATCAACACTGATTACAGCCCGCGTGGAACCTAACTTTAAACGTGTCACAGTCGTAGTATCTGTGAAAACTAGAGCAAATACCCCTTTTGAACCCTTATGTTATTAGTAGGATACAAGTCCTTTGATTTTAGCGCTTTAGAATTTCACAAACCAGTGACTTTTAGTTACCAGCATCAGAAACACCTGAATGATCGCAGTGTTTTGAGGTTCTCAAATCCCCATTTTGCCGTCCCGTTTTTTTATTAAACACAACGCATATTTTAGACAGTTGCTTGTGCAAGAGAGCGCGCGAGGGGAAGAACATGGGCACAGTAAAAGAAATCTCACGCCTGGTTTGCGGGAGGACGTTTACTAAATCAAGAAGAAAGCGACAAAACTGCAAACAAAATGTAGCACGACCAGTCCACCGGAGATGGGTGAAAGTCGACAGCATCAAGCGTGGACCCAACGCTAGGCAATTAAGTGGTGAACGCCATGGAGGAGGGCAGTGGTTGAAATACCTGTGGCGAACAGCAAGGGGGGGTTTCAAATGTGCCTTCCAGTTCATTGCCACCTAATCATTTTTTTACTTTTCCAAGTTATTTCCTGCGTCGTAAATGCAAACGAAGGAAATCGTTTTAAATAACAGGAAGAACCCCGTGCGATACAAAACTTAAAGGTATGAAAAATAGCAATGACTGAAGGCCGTTGATTACGTGAAATCCGTAACGAATTTCCTAAAGCGCAACGGCAAAGCGACTGCCTCAGTGGTGGTTTCGAAGTCCGACCAATCAACAACACACTACCGATGAAGGGAATGATTACTTCAAGTGTTTCGCATAAATTGCCACCGAATCTGCTGGAGATTTGCAAGCAAGAGCATCAAGGATTGTTTAGGCTGTCACGAATTCACACAGGAGACGAGAAGAAACAACGGTGGAATCAACCAAACGTGATGATTTGCAGGTGAATGCGTTCATGCAATGAAATGACACGAAAAATTACTTGCTCTACCCAGATTTTACACATTTTATGAAGCCTCAAAGTGTAAGAAGCAAAAAGAACCTGAGGTTTAAGAAGGAGCGATCTAGGTAAAGGGCGTAGAGATACTGGGAAATTTTGTCTTTCACTCAGAAGCGTGGGAGCCGTGCAGTTCACGAAGAAGCATTTGATTTGCAGGCAAAGCAAACGGGAGGAGAGCAATGAAAAGTCAAGCACCTCCAAACCCTGTGCATGTGACTTACAGGTACCTGTTTAGAGGGTGCTTTAACAATTTGACCAATGACCCAACTCACCAACCCAACGTCTGACCATTACACGAATACCGGTGCACGACCTCTTTGCAAACTTAAAAAAATTTCACGGATTTCCACAGCTTGCGCTAAATGTACTTGCTTGTAATAATCAACCTTTGCATCACGCAAGGAAACATAAAAGGACGGCGAAACCGGCAAGACTAGTATTTAAATAGAAGTTGGAGAGTTGACGGCAGATGCTTGCAATAGTTAGATTACATGAATTGTTGTAGCAACAATGAAAATTACTTTTGCGCCCCCACCATATCAGGTCGCAGCCTCCTTACAGTAAGAAGTTTAACGCAGATTAACTGAGAGCTCAAAAGAACATTTCTGAACAAAGGAATTATGTAAGGAAATTGTTACGCTGACCCCTGTTATAATGAGCTTGACGTTAGCGGCCCTGAGATAATTGAAACACACAACAATCGTTACTTTTAATACCAACGGCAGCTTGATTGTAGAAAAACGAGGATAGCGGAGTTGGGGCGGACTACCTTATGCGCTGGTAGAAACCATGGAAAATGGGATAATAAAAGGCTGCTGCATTTGTCAAAGCCTCCTTTGGCTAGCGAAGACACGAGCTTCTCGTTTAAACAAAAAGGAAGTTAGTAAAAGCTGAGTGCAGGGCTACCACCACCGGGGTTCGTGAATCGGGCATTTGTAGGTACACAATTTCTTACAAAGTTTGCTTGGCTTGCAATTACTCCCTTTCTTTGACCTCCATTTACGTAACTGCGTCGATAAAACGAGAATACGCAAAAGTCCGGCCAACAGAGACACGTTGCCATAGCGACGTAATACAAAGGGGCGAGGACGTCACACCACAATAGTTTAACACGCAACGATAAAACCAGGAAATCAGTCCAATATTAATGATCGCTCACGCAAAGCGCCACTCAGGTGTTTAAGTGGCATGCCAACAGACTCGGCGATGATGGCTAAACTGGGCTTGACTTTTAGGAGAAAGTGCTATACAGCAAAACCCCGCGCACTGCGCAACGCGCCTAGTGGCAAACATACCTCGCGTGAGTTGTTTCCACATTAAAAAAATACACACAGTCAGAGGTTGTAATTACTCATAACAGAGTATGTACCACATGTTGACAAAAAGGAGCCAGCATATTGATAACAAATTGCTTTCTAACCTTTGCACGGTGGACTAAATGATGCAACAAAGTGCTGGCTGGAATTTCCAAAGTAAATTGAGACTAAAAGCAAACTTTTCTCATCGACGCAAAAATAAGTCATGCAACATGCAATTTAAAGTGGTATTTCATCAACCAGAGGGTAGCTTACTAAAATAAATCACAGTTAAAACCACTGAATAATAAATTGTGAACTTTTTAGAAAAAAAAATGATTACTTTTCGCTAGAACTGCGCATTTACGTTGGTGCCAAGATGAAATGAAACATAACTGTGGCAGTGAATGACGTTTTGAACATCACAACAAGCATAAAAACCCAAATGTGGCATTAAATATATTTTTACACACCACGTCAGTTTAAAAGGAGGGCAGGAGGCACATTTTGTTTAGATTCGAAAAGTACACCATATGATAAAAGGGAAAAGCCGACAGAATAAATTGCAGTGACACGAAATCGGTAAATGCAGGAATTTGTCTACATGGCAGCGATTTCAGTCAAAGCTCGTCCACAAAGGTGTACAAACATGAAAACGTGAAAACGCATTTGCATTCACGAAACGTCAAGCAAACCGGTATCGCGTGTTGGCATCAGCACAAAATTGCACTGACGTGTTGAGTGAGCAGAACCCTGGCTCCAGCTCCTATCAAACGCTTACGTAGTCGCCGTGACAAGTAATTTACGCTCAGTATCTGCATCTAACGGTCCCGAAGCCCAAATCATCATTTTACATTGGATCTTTTCCTGTGTGAAGTTGTTAGTTAACGTACTCGTTGTCTGTGATTTATCAGGTGATGCGACCCAACGTGGCCTAATCGATAGGCTGCCCAGGAGACCCGGCATTCTTGTGACTCACTGGAGCAAGTCACTTGATTATTGACCTCGGGTCAAGGGGTCAGGCTAAATCGATCGCACGACGTCCGAAGGACACCATACACACGGATATAAAGCCATGAGGTGTTGCTGCCAAAACGCCTTGCAAATAAACTTGGTTTTTAACACTACTATTTCCATAACAAGTCGGCTACGCTGAGCGTCAAATTCAGACCATAACACTGAGATTGAATGCAAATTATAGAGGACAAAGCATCGCAAACCTCAAAGTTAGAAAACTCGGGAAAAAAGAAAGATTGGGCACTTTTGTGGGTAAACGAGAGAGTTTGGGCAATTCCTGGATTCGATGTGACTGCTCGTAGACTGCAGTTTTTATGCCGGGCCCCGATAGAAATATGAGAACCAGACACAGACACCGTTATTAGCACTGTTTTGATGCTAACAAACTAAGCGAATTATTCTGACGGCATGGGCACAGCCAACAATCAAACCAAGAGTTGGTAATACTTAGCTAACACCGCAAAAGAGTTGTAGTGTCTTAATTAATTTTAAACAAAAAAGAGGCAAATGAGATTGAAATACACGCTATGCGCTGAACTGGGTGCTTTTTTTTCGAGAAAGGCAGAGCAAACTACACTTTTTAGCTGAGATGCCGCCACTCTGGAATGAAAACGGAAAGGAGGACACATACCAGCAAAACTGATTAATGTCCTTAATGAAACAAACAGAAAAAAGAGATTCCTGTTCTACGATAAATTTTATTTGCTAAAAGACATCGAAGTAGATGTTTATGCCTGTCACAGGACGCCTGGAAACTAGTCGATGATCTGAGCTAAGGCGATACGAACAAGAAATGAGACGCGACATGTGCATCCCGGAGAGCCCACAAATCTGACATTATCGAAAGCAGGCCGTAAATTGCTCTGGAATTGCTTTACCCCCCTCTGTTAAAACTCAAATTCCGTGTTTATCAGCCATCTTAATTTTAGAGGCTGTAATTAAACAAATCTTGATACAGGGGATCCGTGCAGATCGAAAACGTCACTTGAATGATCTAACAGAGGCTCGTTTTATCACTGATTCACCCCTTCAAATTGCAAATCCAACTGATCCATGTGAGGGATGCCTGTGCACCGGGCGGATGAGCACTCAGTGGAGGAGCTCAACCATAAGCAATCGGACTTCAGAGATGCACAATTATGGGATCGCGGGTGCAAACGAAAACTCACATCAAATCGTCAAACAGGCATACATCTGGCACGATGTCAAAAAACACGCACAAGAATCCAATCGAGTCGGAATTTCGAATGTCAATACATTCGACATTACTATTTTCTTAAAATGCAAGCATTTTCTACCGTTACTTGTGCTCTGAACCAATTACAGTAGAGTCTGAACGGCGAGAGCAGATTAAAAGAGCATCCTTAATTAGAAGAAGAGCCTTTTGATCGCAAACCCAAGAAAAAGATTTAAGGCAAACTGCACAAGAAAACGCACCCACAGGATGTTCCAGATTTGTTTTTGGCGAAAAAGATTCGTCGACACCGCGGAAAGACCTTCTTAAGTTCCTCCTCAGTGATGCTGTACGGTAGATTAAAAAGCTTTATCTGCAAACCATCCCGGTCGGGTGCAGCTTTTCCCTTGTTTCTGCCTGGTAAAATCTCCTGCAAGAGGCCAGAGTACTCCTCCGAAGTGGTGGAACTGCAGCCAACTTGGCGACCCGCGATTTTCTTGTCGCGGCAGGCAGTCTCCGTCGCACGACAGTCATCCCGGCTGTCAAAGGCGATTATGCATGACCTGAATGCAAAAAAAACCAGTCAGAAAGAGTAGATGGCAGTGAAGGCGCAAAATACGGGGAAACCCTCAGCACTGCGGAACGACAGGCGCGAGCATGATGCGCGTCCGCAAGTTGTTCCATCACTTGTAGCACCACCGAAAATTGGTTTTACCTCAACCAACGACAAAACGTCGAACGGTCCAGACAACAGGGAGCCAAGCAGCTTCCAAGTTACCCTTTCTGAAGTCGCGTTGATAAAAACGTCCCTATCAAAACCGTGCAGCCGAACAGCAAAACAAAACAGACTATGAGAATGCTGGCACCTTACACCAGCAGCAAGTTGTTCTTGCAGTGCTGCTCTGTCAGGGCTGGGTAAACAAAATGCCGAAGGATTTTAGCCAGCACCTTCAGCAAAACATCGTTTGGGAGTCAAATTCTCAAGGCCATCGCTTCTCACTAATCGCTCATGTCACAGCAGGGCAAATAGCGAAGTCCCTCTTTAAGGAACTAGAAGTTTATCCCCAGTTAATACATAGGTGAAAAAGCATGGCACTAAGCGATTGTTTCTGTTAGCCATGAAGATATAGCAATTAAGTTGGTAAAAGGGGGCGCGGAGTAGCGCGTGTGTAGTCGTAACAACAGCGTAACAATTGAGCCCCACAATGCTCTACTTACTGTTATGAAACCGGTTTTGTGGGACCCACGAATTTTCCCGCCTACTGGGGAATTGAACACGAAATGCGGCACCAGGCTGATTTGAGTGGTGTGGATTAAGTCGCATCAGCAGAATGATTTTGGGCCTTGTCCAGGAAACTGACACAACTGTCACAGACCCACTAAATCACACAATTTAAGAACTTTGGTCTACACCAAAACGACTCGACTAAAATCAAGAAACTTCCCCAGACGAAAGTAAAATGTTTAAGTTAAATTAACACTCAAGTCGTTAAAAGTGACAGAGAACTGCTTCGCAAGAAGGAGGAGGGGTACTACAAATGTAAAACGAACGTCCATGTCGACGTAAAAACGTCTACTTTCATTTTTTTACCGACTGCAACCCACAACTATGATAAGGCGGGTCTAAATACCTCTCATTGATAATTAAGAGATTTCGCTGTTTAAGTCCTTTCGATTTTTAGAGTTCACTTTCTTGAGTCGGAGTGCTGGCAGCGAAAAACAGGCGAAATAAGAGTCAATGGAAAGAACGCATTACCTCCCACAAACAGCGAAACCACGGAATGCGTGACTAAAGTTAATGTGGTTTTTAATCGAAGGCGCGCTATTTTACGCGTTTGTAACAAAACTTTACGGCCACTATCGCAGTTAGTGAAAGCAGGTGGGAGCGCCAGGTTTATAATAAGAAATTAAGATATCAGAACTTGAAAGGACAAATTAACTGATACCCTTTAACGCAAATGCAATCTCAAAGAGGAGTCTTAACAGCGGTCGTCAAAGTTGCCGTGGACGGCGTCTGTGAAGAGGCGACACTTAAAACAGACTCAGGTGACCCTGATTCAGCCGCTTCTGGTACATTTAATTGGGCACACCTCAAGGCCATTACAAACTAGTTAACCCGAAAAGGCAAAAATGATTTCTTATTGCAGTAACCAATTGTGACTAAGTACAGCCACTTTTGTCATCTACACTCAGACACTTAGCTGAGGGGGTATGATTAAGCAAACGGCAGCGCTGCGTATCTATCGAGCTTTGTTTGTGTCAGCCCACAGCCCTCAATGTTTGTTTCATGAGAGGAACGCAGTTCGACAAACAAGCAGACGCGAAGGGGGTTTAACATGATACGTGAATGACGGTACAAGGGAATATTCCGCAATTCCGACAGCCACAAGACTGCTGTTAAATAATTAGACATGCGACAAATTCAGTGGTTTTAGGTCTATTCTCGAGCTATCACAGGTCAATTATCCGAGTTAGGCCAAATGTTTCACGAGATTTTTCCCGATCGACTTTTAAAGAGCACGTGGAGGATCTGGATGCTTCTCCACTGTACAAAAAGGAGCATTTTTGAAGTATTAGTGGTGGTAACTTTAGTTCACCGCACCAATAATACTCAGGCGGGAATTAGCAGAGAGCAGGAGGCACGCCGAGGCAAACGGCGCAAAACTCGTCGTGATGCCGCCTCGCGGTGCCACCAGTGACATATTGCCGCGTTAAAGCGGGCAAGGGGGGAGGGGGGCACGTGAGTGGATTGTCTGTCCAGACGGCCAGGTGGATTAACTAAAAGATTAACTCGCTCCCAGTGTTGATTTTCGACTGTTACGTAAGGAGTCGGGTAAAGACCAATTCCGCATCTTAGGCACAACGAGGCACAACCAACATGCTAGGCTTGTGTGCGCAGTGCTAGCTTTTGACAACCAACATTTTTCACAGTTGTCAGTAGTGCAACCATACATCAGACAAATAGTACTGAATTGCCCTAATTACACAAAGTGAAAACAAAATGCGACACTGTGTTGTGCGGATTCGCAAACTGGCGTTTGCCGAAAACAATTCCAAAACCGCATTATTGTAAAGTGTGCGAAGTTGGTGTGTTGCTTGGTGCGACTTTGACGACTCATATCGGCGACATGGCTTCGCATGACAGGAGAAAACGCAAATAAGGCAAAGGCATCGAAATATCCCTTGTGGTTGATTCGGTGCCTTCGCAAATGTTTCTTTATCTCAAAAAAGCTGGCACCGCACTTCTACAGTTTCACACCCAAACAAATTGCCACTAGTCCACCTGTCTACTGTGAATGTAATTGATAACGGCAAAATGAATCGCACATAACAGCAGAGCAATAGGTCGTAAGGTTGGAGTAAAATGTGTCGTCATAAAAAACGACACATAAAGCGTCCCTCTTAATTTGACAATTTAACAATGCTAATCGGTTAAATACATACATTGCACAATGGTAGACCTCACGAGCATGTAAAGATCCACCAAAGCCGAGCGACTGAAAACCGTCGTTTGGAAAGGACTTTACTCTGTTTTCCTGCTTTTTCACAACTTGTATAGGCTTATCTAGGCCTCCGTGTTTCTCTTCGAAATGCTTAGGCCCGTGACATGAACTCGAGTCGTGAGTAACTAAGGTTGGAGCTAGCTGCTTGGAATACACTAAGGTCGAATGAATGTTGCATTTCATGATTTGATTTAACCAGGAAATTCGACTTGAATGCATGAAACGCTAAAGGCTGTTCTCCATGGTTCTGTTGTGAATCGTGTTTATTCAACCCCTTAATCAGATCGCTTCGCCTCCGACACAGGGCTCACCTTTTTCGCAGCATGGCGCCAGCCGCGCAAATCCTCAACTCCCCCTTCATTCACACGTATATGCATCTCGGATTAACCTCACACCTACGTCTCAATGTTAGAGCAGTTATGACTCACACATCCAAGGTATAAATACCCACGCATAAACCCCACATACCACGGCGGCTTCGTCAATTTCTCGAATAAACTATTGACTCTCTGTAATTAGTGATATATGGCGTCTCAACAGTTCTTTCCGTTGACCTTGGGTTAACCAACCACGATGACTACACCGTTTGTCAAGGTCAATTTCAACATGTCCCGTCAGATGCATTCATCGCAACAAAAAAAGCCCCGAAAAGACGGCACAATGTCAAAACGTATTAGGAGGGCTATAAGCAACGTGTAGCACGTTTTTTTCCGAAATGATGAATGGATACGTCGAAATCGATGGCCCAAAATAACCGACCGCGTTGGTATATTCAACGGACATTACTTCAAACTGGCTAAATCCGGTTTTCTTAAAATGGTTTCCACCACTAAAAAAATGCATGAATCCCAGACCTGACATTGAACAAGTGCAGGATTATGGCCGATTCATAAAAATAGTCATTAGTAATGTGGCGACGAAGCGGGAATTATTTCAACGAAATAAAAGCATTGACTACAAAGGTTGGCAAAATTAGCAGAGCTGTGGGTCTCTCAGAGCGAGACGTGAACAAAAGACTGAGGCTAGACCAAATGGAGCTTTTGTGCTGCTTGCCTAACGCTGAAAAACAAAAATTACACGCTTCGGTCTGGTGAATAAAACGCTGCGTTTGGAACTAACATCACAGGTAAACGGGAAAGGGTTTGCTCACTAAGAGACGGTGTTCATTCCAAGCAGTGATGTGGCCTTGAATTGGTTGGAAAAATCATTTTCTGAGCACATTTTAAGTTAAGTTTATTAGAATTGGGAAGTCGTCATGCCTCACGAAGAAAGGGATGGCATTGCGTGACCATATTTTGGGCAACTGTGTGAAAAATGGAAGCGAAAAAAAGCACACAATGCAAAGGTAGACTGGTGCGCAGCATTGGATGCATAAAAATTGTCCGATGCCACAACGTGTAATTCCAATACATCCACCACAAGGAGGAACTGGCATTTGTTAAAACAACCAGGCACCACCGAAAAAATGTTGCTGCCGCCGCAGGTAGTTAACGGGGATTTTTAAAATGAGTTAAAACATTGCACGCACCACCAAGTAGGTTTAATTCAAAACTGCCACACTGTTTTCAACGCGGTTCCGCTTGCATAAACAGCTTTACTCGAGTTGCGGCAGACGACGGCAGGTGGGCAGAAGAGGTGCGTTGTGTGCGCCCATCCGAATCGCCAAAGGTGATGATGGGGATTCGTTGACCGAAGTGCGGTAAAAAAGTGCAGATTGTGGAAAACCAGAGAGAGACTCAATATTTCAAAGGTTAGAAGCCCGAATGCAGTTGACTGTGAATTGGGAGGAGGCATCACGCCTTTAACGCTTGACGACGGCTCGACGGATTGCGTGAGCACATTCATTACTGAGACGCGAATTTGATGCGAAGTGAATTGAAGTCTGGGAAAACAGCAGCAGCAGCAGCAGAGATCCAAGTGGCGATCGATTCGAGAGACTTTGAGGGGTGGAGCAGGGTCAAGGCGGCATTCGTTGGCATGGCTGCACGTCACAATGTTCCAAAATCAGGAAGGTGAACATTTTGTGCTGCAACAACCACGAGACAGGACATTTCCAAAGTCTGCCATGCCTGTCCTTGAAATTAAGGACAGGTCTTCGGCCTGAAAGCGCAAATCGGCAGCCGATACGACGTAGGGATGAACCCTTCTGCTTAGTGGGATGAGTTTGTGGTAAACTTAATGTCGTTGAGTCGTCGAGCCAAAAGAGAGTGTGATTTAGAAAAACGAATCACGCGACTTTACTAAAGAAAGTATCGATCACTTGCATTTTAAATTGCTACTAGAATCCTACACGAACAACAGTTCTGAATCAAGAATTTGGATGCAGCTATCATCACACACACACACACACGCACACACACTACTCCCATCAGCCTCTCTGCAAATGGGCACAGGTACTGAGTCACGTAGCTTTGAGGCCGGAGGGAAACAGTACACTTGCCCCCCTCCACTCCCCCTCCCCCCCCCCAACTCCCAAAACTCGCCCAACACATCGCGTCCCTAAAAAAATGC